CTCCCGGTGCAGGGGGTGAAGCCCGGGGTGCCCTGGGCCGGGGAGGCTGCAGGCGGGCGGAAGGGGTGCTCTGAGGTGGTTTCTGCGCCTCTCGGGCACTTCTCCTTCGCCGCCGCGGGGCCGGGACCCAGCTTCCGTTTTTCTGTGGCCGCCGAGCGAGCGCCGGGGCCGGAGTCATCCTGCCGGGCGGCTTCGTGCCGAGTCCGCTTGAAAGTTGGTTGTGCCCATGTGTCCTGTGGGCAACCCCGCGGTGCAACGTGTGCGCTTGAGCTGCCTTTCCACCCCCTCGGTCAGTGACAATTATTTACAATATACGCGCAGATGCTTGATTTGGGGTTTTTCCCCCCTTTCGACAAAAAATAATAAGGGGTTTTGTGTCTCAGATAATTTGTTTGGTAGTTAATGCAGAGTCCTGGTTAAGGTGCAGTGCGAGGCTGCAAATGAAGTGTGTGTGCAGGGCAGAAGTGTGTGAAGGTAAGTATTTTGTGTGAGTGAGGACTTGTCCTTAGTACCTTTTTATAATGCACAGGAGTAATGGGATGGTTTGAATTTAGCTGCACAAAGTAAATAGGAGACTGTGTTTAGTTCTGTCTTTTTTTAATGGTAAAAGATTAATTTTATAGAAGAGCTTATACTATGCTGCATGTAGCGTAAATGTGTGTGAGGGCTGGGTGTGCGTCTGTGGAGGATGGGTTTTCTGGGGGTGGGTTTTTTTAAGGACTTAATGCTGTGTATCTGCTTGATATCCTTGGTGTAAAATGTTGCATATAGAGAAAACAACCTAAAACTAGCCACAGGTTTTTTTTACCTAGAAAGTGCCTAATTACACATTTACAGTAGCTCCTGATAATCAATATTAAGTGCAGATTTAGAGGTCTAATCAGATCCTCAATCTCTTGTTGCTGTGATTTTGTTGTTCATTTGTTTAGTATCTGCAGAATTCTGCAATAATATGAAGCTAGATATGGGGAGAGGGAGAAGAACCCCTCCTCAGGTATTTTTGAGAGATACCAAAAGCTTATGGTCGAGCAAGCTATATAAAGGAAAGGCTAATGTGCTGCTTTCAGTGTGTGTGTGTGTGTAGATGCTGGCTTTGGGGATATTAACTTGGAAGTTTGCATTGTCTGCTAATCTGTTTTCTGTGCATAGCAATCATGTGGCATGTACCATATAGCTGAGACAAAATGCGAGCAGGAGCAGAAAGGAAAGCTTGCATGAGGGGAATGGAACATTATTTTCTTTAATCTTTTATGCTGTGGGTCTCTTTTTTTTTTTTTTTTTTTTTTTTTGAAGACCTCTGAACTAGAGGGGACATTGCAAGCCTAAAACTGCTTTAATTTTTGTTCTGTGAGACTATAAATTTGGCTGGATGTGGAAGAAGGAAGAATATCCTGATTATATTCATTGTGTATAAGATGACGCCTTGGCTAGTAACATGTAAAATGATACTGGACACTAAAGTCTGACACTGGAGGTTGTTTCAGGTCCTGCATTTAAATGGGCCTTAGTTCAAGGTATTACAATTGTGCAATGCAGAAGATCTTGTATTGCATTGGGAAAAGCTGAATGAGAATTTTTTGCTATAAGAGTGTATCTCCTTAAATATGGAGTAAATTGGAGTGCTTTAAACTGGGGAGAGGTTATAGCGGGTGAAGAATTTTTTCTTTCTTTCATTTTGTTTGGTTTTATATGAGCTCGGGGGGAAATATTTTAAAACTGATGCCTGGTAGGAGGACTCCTAGGTTTGTATGTGGTCTAATTCTATTGATTTTTTGATTAGGTTAATGTATTAAGTGGTAGGCATGATCCTGACAAACTGCAATTACTACTTAACTCTTGTAATATTGTCTGCATCAGATTATCAATATATCAAAATAACATGTGAAACATAACTAGTTTTTCTCTTAAAAAGAAATGTTAAGATTTTGTCAGTTATTTTGCTTAGTTAAATTTGAAAAATCTTATTAAAGAATGGTTTTTACTCTGAAGTAATTCTGACATAAGCTGCTGTTTTGTAAAAACAAGGAACAAAATGTCAATGGATTTGATTTCCAAACTGTAACTAGAGCAGTACTGAGAAGAATGTCTTAAGGGTATGTCAATATGAAATATGTAACTACTATTGATAGCTTTTTTTTTTTTTTTACAGAGGTTCCTGGATGTAACTCTTCATGCTTTTTGATATGTACACAACCTTTTCCTTTCCTGATACGCTTCACAAAGTAATAATGCAAATGTTATACTGGCTGATTGCTAACTACTTTTTTTTTGTAAAACCTCTCTTGCTAACTTGCACTGCATTCCCTTCTGAAAAGGATTTTTCTTATTGTCTAGTTGTCATTCTTCCAGACTAGTGTTTTAGGCATGGAGAATGGCATTAACATTTCTAGCGACTTAAAATTTTAGGTTGTAGAAAATGAGCACTTTCATAAGACAGACTATGAGAAGGTAGGGCTGTACCACCTTATTGACTAACTTGTTTAGAAAGGCATAAGCTTTCATAACATCTGGCAGTTGCCTGTGAATGGACTTGCAGAAAGTGGGGGTGGGAGGGTGGTTCTAAATGGACAGGAATTTTAGATACAAAGGATAAAGAAAGAGGGAGGAAAAGATAGGAGAAGGGGGCAGTGCTCAGAAGGACAGTGGTAGGTTGATGTAAACATTGTCCCTAATGTTTGTATAAACAAATATATTAAGTTACATTGCTTTATTTAGGTTTGCTCTTAAGAAATGAGTTGTCTTTAAAGTTTTCAGTAAGCATTTGTTCACATGGATACACTGTATGGTAATTCCCTCCTCTTATTGTAGGAATATCGGAGGCCAGTAACTGGCGAAGAAGGAGGGATAGTGGGGAAAGCTAAGGCTAACTCTTGCTTGTCATCTGAGTTAATTTGAATGCGAGTATTCTCACAACAACGCTTCGCCCAAATTGCTGCGGCCTCGCTCTGTACGTCCACCCATTTGTATCAAGGAGCATAGCCATTGATCCTCTGGGATGGGACGCTCTAGAACAGTGATTCTCAACCTTTTCTCTCCCAGGACCCATTTGTAAACATCAGTCCTGACCCAGTAAATAGTTTTAGTAAGAAACGCACAAGTATTTTGGCCCCAAAATACTTATTACATACTACAAGTTAAAGTGGCTCAACAGTCTTAATTTTAAAGACCAAAATCGACATCAACCAGAAAACATTAACATCAATATAAGTATGTAAACCCTCCGTTACTCCCAAGTGACATTCGCCATTGTGTGCCTGTGCCCCTCATTCTCAACTTGCAGCCCCTGGTGGTGCCCCTCATTTCCAAACTTGCAGCTCCCTGGCCCTGCCAGTGTCTCTCAGTCCCAAGCCACAGCCCTACCCCCAGCCCTACTGGTGTCCCTTGCTCCTGACCTGCTGCCCTCTGGGCCCCTCCTACCCGCAGCCCTGCTAGAGGGGGGGCCCCAGCTGCCTCCTCTCTGCCTGGGCTGGAAAGCAGTTGTTGTGATGGTTCTGGTTCATGTGGGCGGCCACAGAGCAAGTCTGGCCTTGTCATGGACTAGGGGGAAGAGAGGAGGCCTGTGGCATCCCCCACCCTGGGCAGGGGCTCCCATGCTGTGCTGGGTGGCCTGGCCGTAGCTTCTAGGGCTGTGCAAAATGGGCCCTATTTGATTTGGATTTGGCCTGAATCGGGGACAGCAATTTGATCTGTTGATTCGGATCACTGTCCCCGATTTCGATTTGGTCGAATCCGAATCTGACGAGTCAATGCTGATTCAGTGAATCGGTGATTCGGACACAGGCACAGCTTTAAAAGTGTTTGTTTGCTTGTTTTTTTACATACCTTGAGGTAGCCGTGTGGCTCATGATTGCTTCGCTGTGATGCTGGGGCACATGGAGTGTCCCACAGGAGCACAAGGGGGCTCCCTAGTGTGCTTGGCAGCAAACCCAGAAGTAGACCAGAAGCATAATCTGCCAGGGAGTGTGTTGGTAACCCCCCACCACACACACACCACTGTGGCTCGGCATTCAGCCACAGGGGGACCTCAGGTGCTTCTGGTCCACTTCTGGGTCTACTGCCAATCGCACTGGGGAGCCCCCCACACTTCTGTGGGACACTGCATGTGCCCCAGCACCACAGTGTTCAGAGCCCCTGCTACCTAGAGTTACGTAGATACAGCTTTTAAATGTTTTTTCTATGTCCAAATCAGGAGGGTTCCAAATCAATTTGAAGAGATTAAAGGGATGCGGAGATTTGGCCACCAAATAGGGCCAGATCAAATCGGGGACGGATGCTTTGCACAGCCTTAATAGCCACCCTCCCCAGCAGCGTCTCCTGGCCACCTCGCCTCCATGAGCTGGCAACACCAGCCTAAGCATCCCTGAAGGGCCCCCTTCCCCCACTGAAGAGGTGTGCTCCTGCCCTGCTATAGCCCCTGTGCCTGGACACCTTCCTCCAGTGCTGGCAGACACCTGTCCCCTCTACCACACCCCTGATGCACACCCACACACTCTGCCCCGCACAGCCTCACAGACAGTCCCCAAGTCCTGGTCCTCCAGCCGCTACTCCCCATAAACTTACTTGCATCCAGCTGCTGGGGCTGCTTCCACCACCCTGCCTGGTTGTATGCCAGCCATGTAGTTGTATGCCAGCAGATGCATGAGGTGCCCC